CCAAATATTGTAACGAAAATAATTCTAAATTCTATGTTAACGTTAATGGACTTATAATTTGTACTAATAGAAAATTCCCACACAAATTCATGCGATAGCAAAATTTATTTGCTAAAAATATTTTCTGCTAAATTTTATATGAATTGCACTTGTTACTTAATTCATTTATGATCTTATTTAACTAATAAATAAAATTTGAACAGATCAGCTACAATATTTGATGTGATTATTGAAGCTAACACAATTTGATCAGTGCTTATAATATTTATTTCATAAGTAGATAGTTTTGGCTTGCCTTTTGATTTCAACCAAATTAAATAGTGATGCTGACTGATGATAAAAATCGCCTAAAACATACCATCGGTTTAGTCGGATTGTTTTTTTCAAAAAAAAAAAGAGTCTATTAAGAACATTTACGCAATTTCTATGTAGGAAATAATAATCCTAAAATCTAGGCAAGTCAATTCTGAATGCTTCGAATTCAAGACAACTAAACCACTAATCCAATAAAATTTTCAACTATGCCTATAAATATATATAGACTATGTCACATATTCTAGTGATTTAAATAAGTCTGTATATATCTATAATAACTCACGGCAACTGCATCCTGTGCGATACAACTTTTGGTAGATTGAAAAAAAAACACTACCAATAATGAGGCTATGTAACCAGTCTTAATACGGGTCACATGATTCAACTCACACGGATGACCCAAGTAAAGAAATTGCAGAACTCCAATACAGTAAATATTTCTATTCACGTATTTTTATATACCAACTTCAAACTTCAAATTGAAATGCTCGCATTTACAAGAATTATTCACTATCTTTATATTTGAAACTATGTGGATGACGCCCACTTCCACAATTCAAATTAGAACATTTACATTTACAAAAAAAAATTTCTCTTTTACAATTGCATTTTGTGCCAGTTCATAGCAGAAGTGGACCGCATTCTTGCAGCTTCTTATAAACTAATGATTTTTTTATCTGAGCAAACTTCAACTCTTTATATTTCATTGATCCTAGTGGCGAAATTTCATTTACACCATAGGTAGTATCAAGAATATCATTTTTTTTTCACTGTAATTCATATATTTTGCTTATTAATTCCAATTACATTGCAAGGAATTAAAAAAAAGATGCATCGAAATTGGAATAAGAGCAGAGAAAATACTAAGACATTGGTAATTTATACGTATATAACTAAATTTATGTTATTATTTAGTGAAGAAGCATGGCTTTCAAAAATAGTACAGACCACAAAGTACAAAACGAAGGAACGTATATTACGGGCATAATTATACCTTTGCTTTTGGGCTAGTCTGGAAGACATGCCTAATGAAGTGTTTTTTTAACGATTTTAACTTGATTAGATGTTGGAGAATGCCCAGAGCTTTATAAAATTGGTATGAATTTCGGTGACGAAAATTGTGATTTCAAAGATCATGTTGCACAACATGAAGAGGGCCTTGTATTTGCTTGAGCACGTACGTATGTAAATTCTTTTTAGCATTTTTTTTAACATATTCGTAATAATAATATCTTGGGTCGTTGGCTATTTGTGGATCAATCCACAAATATCCAGTGACCCAAGATATTATTAATTAATACCCTGACCTCTCACATGATAAGATACATCATTAGTTCGTATGTAATTAAAGCCTTGATATAAAATGATATCAGATTAATTAATAATCAAATACCGTATCTTTCCTTCTTTTAAACATACCGATCTCTAAAAATAAATTTAAAATTAAAAAAAATAAAAATGAAACGTTCTTTTATTAAAGCTTCCGATTTTCGTTCTACTTATGGTGATCCAAAATTCGAAAAAAAATTGAAAAACCAAATATACCCAAAAAGTGCATGGGCTAATTGTTATCAAACTCTATATGTCAAACCGATCTTCTAATGAAGAATTTTTCTTTTCATCCGCCTATTGATTATTTTGGTATACTATATTTTTTTCTTGTTTTTTTTTTTTCTGTTTTTTTTTTTTCTTAGGTCGTGACAAGTTATCCTAGTTTATGAAGGAAATTTGCACCATTATGGGTGTCAATTGCACTGGTAAAAAAATTGCAACCATTCCCTTATGTACGGCTCAAAAACTAAATGATGCTGGTGTGGATGTCTATGAATATCACGAAGCATCGTATAGTAGAGGCATATAATATGTA